TGCCAAAGGGATGTCACTGTGCGCCAGGCCGCGCTTGTACTGGACTACATGGGAGTGCGGCAGCGAAGATGGGGTCTCCTGGCAAAAGGGAGGCGAAGAGGGATGGGAGGCCTATGACAGGGTCCAGCTTGTTGCACAGGTCGACAGCAAAGCCGCTTTTTTACCAGGATGGAGCTTGCAGGAGGGTTGTCACTTGCCGACCTTTACCACGTCACGACCCCGAAACGCTCCTGGCAGGAGACCAGCGGGAGTGGAGCAATGCACTGAGCATGAACTGCAACGTTGGTATGACGACTACTATAGGTTCCCACCTTACCAATACAGAGACAGCCACGGCCTCTGGAGTAAAAAAGGCGAGTGGCGGAGGCCATCGGCGCAAGAGAGAGAAGCATGCATGGGATTTCCTATTGGTTATACGAAACATTGCGTTGTCAAAGCTCAGCAGCAAGGCCCAGACTATGAAGACGCCCGCGTGACGATGATTGGCAATAGCTGGCACGTTGGCGTCGTTGCTTGGCTCCTGGGCCAGCTGACTCAGAAGTTAGGGATTGCCCGAACCATGTCATTGCAGGACATCGTAGACGCCACCACCCCAGGCAAGGCTCGTGATTTCCCGTCGATGTTGATTAGGCCACCTCATCCGGGGCGACTTGGGGCGGCGGAGCTCGGTGCCGAGGAACGATTGGTCACAAAGTGCTTGGGGCTAGCTTCTACCAAAGGAGAAGACCTTCTAGTACATGCAGTGAGCGATCCAGCACCCCGGTATTTCCGCCTGCGGGGCAGCGTATCTGGCCGCTTGTGGCATTGGCGAGAGATCTCAGGTTGGAAATGGAAGTTGGCGGGAGAACACATAAACCTCCTGGAATTGCGTGCAATATTCACTGGTATCAAATGGAAAGTAAGCAGGTCCAAGAAGTTGGGAGTGAGATTCCTTCATCTCACAGACAGTCTGGTGTGCCTACACGCCCTTACTCGAGGCCGGAGCTCTAGTCGCAAGTTGAGACCGACCCTCTTGAGGCTGAACGCATTGCTGTTAGCGGCTGACCTTCACCCCCTTTGGGGATACATACACACTTCCCAGAACCCGGCCGACCGGCCTAGCCGGCGGCCCGTGCGCCGCCGATGGGGAAAGTAGGGAAGCGAGTACTTGAAGGTCAGACGAAACAGCAAAGACAGGCACAGAGGCGGGAGTTAGGCACACTTCGAAGCCTTACAGTTTCCAACAAAACCAGTACCAGATATATTGCAGCACGTACCAAGTTTTACAATTTCCTCCGTGAAAATTCCCTCGAGATCCCCAGCAGACGGGAGCATTTTGACAGTCTCCTGGCCGAATACATAGAACATCTGTGGGCCGAGGGGGAGGGACGTGGCCTTGCAGCAGACACTGTAGCTGGAATGCAAGACGCGGATCCGAAGTTGAAGGGGCAGCTCCAATTGACCTGGAGGCTGTTAAAGACGTGGAACGTCAACGAGGTCCCTAACAGGGCACCGCCGCTTACAGAGACCGCGCTGGAGGCGATGGTCGGCTGGAGCTTTTTCCATGGGCATTTCGGATTCGGCGTCTCCCTCCTGGTGGGATTCTACGGGATGTTGCGCACAGGCGAACTGACCAGTTTACGATGCTCGCACATTTTCATGAAGGCAGAAACGGCGCCTGCCGTCCTTAGCCTTGGTCTAACTAAAAGTGGAAAACGTGTCGGAGTGTCCGAGTCAGTCACACTGAATGTCGCAGTTGCCCTTAGGTGGTTATGGGCCTGGAAGCAAAGCGTCAAGCCACAGGCACTTTTTGTCCCCTCAGTTTCAGCTTGGCGAAAGCTTTTTTCGGAATGCCTGCAGGCATTACAACTGACTCTCTTCGAGTTTAGACCCTACTCCCTACGTAGGGGGGGGGCCACCTTTTGGTTCGGCAAGCACGCTTCGTTCGATAAGTTGATGGTAGCAGGTAGGTGGCAAGCTGCCAAAACTGCCCGAATATATTTGAACGAGTCCATGGCAGTGCTGGCGGACATGAGACTTCCCCAGAAATCCTTGCTGCCCTTCGTTAGAGTTTTTCACAACCAAGCCTCACCACCACACTTGAGCTCGCGGGCGCGCCGCAAGAAAAGGGGCACGTGGAAGGGGGGTCTTTCTTTGCCACTTTTTTCGAAAAAATAGCCCCAGCTTGAAGGTTTCGGCTAGGCGAAATGCTTCAAGGGGGGCAAGGGGGGCTTTCCCTTCTCTTCGGCTAGGCGAGAGTGGGGAAAGCTGTGCTCCTTTAGACCTTGGACAGGTCAAACCCATGGCGGGTAGGTCTGGAGAAAGACCGAACTGACATTTTGCAGTATTTTCCCATTTCTATTTGTGATTAACTGCGGAGCGTTGTGAAAAGAATCGTCCGTGAGTTTTTGGGTTACGTTCACGGGTGTAAAAACGAAACGAACCTGAATTCTCTTTCATCCGCAGTGTGTTTGGCTTCAGCCCCGCCCCTCCCAGCCCAAGGCTGAAGGAAGGGGGGTCTTTCTTTGCCACTTTTTTCGAAAAAAGAGCCCCAGCTTGAAGGTTTCGGCTAGGCGAAATGCTTCAAGGGGGGCAAGGGGGGCTTTCCCTTCTCTTCGGCTAGGCGAGAGTGGGGAAAGCTGTGCTCCTTTAGACCTTGGACAGGTCAAACCCATGGCGGGTAGGTCTGGAGAAAGACCGAACTGACATTTTGCAGTATTTTCCCATTTCTATTTGTGATTAACTGCGGAGCGTTGTGAAAAGAATCGTCCGTGAGTTTTTATATATATACATATTAGACGTATGTACCCGGCATATATCTCACATATATGATTCCTATAATTGTTTCGTATACATATATACTATACATTGTAACTGATATATCACACATCATATTTTGCATATCTATGTTGGTATATATATATATAGACAAATAGGTCATTGCACATTCTACGCTATATTCTACCCCCGGTATACTTAGGTTTACACCGATGCAAATTTTTTTACAAATCGAAAGCCAAAATCAGAAGGCAGAGAGACAGTAGACAAAAGCCAGTAGACATGCTTTAAAAGCCAGTAGACAAAAGGTAGAGCCGAGATACTCAATTCGGTACTAATGGCACATGACTCAACTCGGTACGCTCATGTACTCATAGCTTGACTCAAAGCTCATATGCATAGTCAAGACTCAATCATGACGGTAACTCAATAAAGCTATGCAAAGTTCATGATTTCAAGTCGACTCTTTTTGTTTTTTCGTAATTCCATGATTCATCACTCAAAGACATGTAGGGTCAACTAATGGGCAAACGCCATGTCGAGTCATGAGCTATCAATGATGAACTGTCATAACTACCTGTAAAGCAAAACAGAAGGTAACTTGATTCACAGTGAATTGTATCAGTTCAGTATTATTTACACAGCATATACAATTATAACTGTTAAAAAACAAAAATACGATGTAAGAAGATATGATAGATGGCTTGTTGGTTCAATACGATATGAAATGAGAAAATATTGTACATTTCAAACTGAGATATTGATATCTGTCAAAAAACTTTCACACACATTTTCATACTGTCCACTGCTCAAACTTGCATACTTACATGACATGCTACTTGCTACAAATTGGATGTATTTTTACTTCATAATTTCTTTGTTTTTTTTGCAAAGTAATCAACTTGTTTGTTAATTGTTTTGAACGTGTAATTTTGTTTGTTATGGTTCATGAACATTTCATGTAGTCATTGCATTGACTCGTCAACTCATCAGTCGTTATAGTCTGAATCGAAGATTCTGGGATGAATTGCGCAGTGGCTTATAGAGATTGCTGAGCTTAAAACCCCCAATACACAAGTAACATTTAATACAGGTCTATCAGCATCAGTGTCATTGCCAAATCCTTGTTTGATTTGACTAACATAACACTCTATTTGTTTTTTGTGACTTGAGTCACGACTCATTGTCAATTTGTGAATCAATGTTTTTGCTGAATGCTTTAGTTTTGATTGAATTCTGTTTCTGCATCGACCTTTCATTCAAAAATAGGAAACATAGAGAAAGTTTGCAAATGGCACTGTTGAATCATGAGTCATGATCCCTGCTAGGACAAGCAATTAAATTAGATTTAGAACAGAGCGGACTGTGGACAAGAAAATTATGATTTGCGGGTTGTCCAAAAGGTTTGCATTGATCATTGTTGATCATTATCTATGATCGGTTAGTGATTTGCATGAAATCAAATCATAAATCATGCTTTCAATACGTAGTTCAAAATTCAATGCAATTCCTCCCATGTAATCATGTTGAATGAAATTGTAGAATCGTAACGAATCATGTCAAATCAAACCGAATCATAGAGTCTTATCATGGTCGTGTCATGTCATTCATGATCAAAAGGGTAACCATTGCAATATTGAAAATCAGATGAAAGTACGCAGAACATATTGACTATATAATAAGCACATGTCCATGTGAATCACAAGAAATATCTATGATTTACAATTGTGTTCTATATTTTTGATTAACATAAGAGTAAGATATCGTTTGACATGTATTTATGTTTCAGGGCTTTGAATCCTACATTGATGTCATTCTTTTTTCCAGTGATCATTTCATTTCAATCATTGGTCATTAGTCACTCACCGCAAGAATCAGAACTCATAGAACCAGAAGCAAACAATAGCGAAGTTGATTGATTGATTGATTGTTTGCTTGCTTGCTTGCTTGCTTGCTTGAATTGTGATTCGGATATGGTTTTGCCCGACCATGACTTGAGACTATCATTGACATCACATATGACACACTTCACATAGTATGATGATGCAAGCATGTGTATATACATATATTTATACATATCATATCTTACCTGACTCACCTATGATCTGTACGCATGACATATGTATGTGCATATTTTCATACAAGCACTTTATTTTTTCTGAAGGTTTTGTAGTTGCAGATTGTATGATAAAGTAAATGATACGTCTTGCTGTTTCTTCAGAGACCGAGTCTTACCACTCAAGGAATGCGCAGAATTAGCACAGAAACTCAATGAGCAGAAAGTGACTATTGGACTTTTGGCAAAGATGGAGCCCAAATGGTTGGTGGATGGCTTCAACTTGAAGTTTGGTGAGGTGGGTGGCAGCCGGTGGCAGGTTGTTTTGTCTCTGTGAGGGAACTCAGTTGTTTTGTCTCTGTCGTTGTGGGCGGTTTTTTGTTGCCGTGACTTCAGCCAGGCGGCCTCTTTGATCTTTCGCGCGACCTATCCGTCAGGTCAAGCTCAGGCCAGGAAGCATGTGTTACAGTACAATGAATACAATGTGAATAAAAACAGAAGAATATACAGAGAATATACAATGTTCAATATAATAAGATGTTTATAAACAGAAGAATAAATCAAGAGTCAGGAAAGCAAGATTGCAAGCGAGAAAGAAGAACATAAAGAAAGGAGCATATTCAAAGCCAAATGAAAGGAGCAAGCAAGGTACGAAACAGGAAAACACGGTGACAGAAGGACAGAAGAGGAGCAGAAGGAACAGGCAAGATTGCGAAAGATAGGAAAACGCGGAAAATTGAACACATTGTGAAAAAGAGAAAGAAATTGGAACAAGACCAGCTTGGTGGCCCCATGTCCACTGAGCACAATGTTATGAGGCCGGGCAGGACATTGACAAAGCGAAGGCAGGAAAATGAGATCAAAAAGGTAAGGAAAGGAAACTCTAACAGAAGGGTAAGAAAAGAACTAGCCGAACAAAAGGGAAGAGTCTAAAGATGCAAGAAAAGAAAAAGCCAAGAAATGCAAGACATAGGAAAAAACAGAAGGAAGATAATGAGCAGCAAAAGAAAAGAAGTAGCAAGAAAGTCGACAAAGGACAGAAGGAAGAAAGGGAGAAAGCAACATTACCTGGGTCCACCACACTGGCACTTAGCCTGTGCATTCCTCATCCCATGCAGAGAAAGAAATGAGAAGTGAAAGGGTACGGAATGAATGCTCGGTCCAGTGGCAGGCTCATGGATCAGCATTAGAAGACCGCATTGCTAGCCATTTCCGCGATTTGCAATCAAAGCTTGAGTTTGTGGAGTTGAACATCAAGTTCATGTTGCTTGCGGTGCTAACCTTTCCCCCTGAGAGCAGTGCAACATTGCGAGACGAGGAGTTCAGACACAACATCATACGTTACCAAGGTTCCTCTGTATGTTGCGTTCTCTCGCAGAGATTCCCAGAGTCATACAAACAATACTTGCGATGGCGCAGAGGCCCAAGGTTGTGGAGTAGTCAGGAACTCTGGGAATGTGATGGCAGGCCGTTTCCTGCCATTGCTGATCACATTCTGCCAAACAGGTGCCAAAAGGAAGCAGCTTTGATGGGCATTGAATTACAGGACAAATCTAATGGCCTGATGTTGTTCAGACATTTGGAGCGAAAGTATGGGCTGCTGGAAATGTCTTTTATCCCTAGCCATTTACAGCTGCCTGGAACCGATGAAATGAAGCTTGAGCTCCACGTTGCAAAGAAGATCATGGATGAGCCGCTTGTGTTTCAAGAGCCACGGGCCCTCAAAGGCCGTCAAGTTGAGGTGCTCTTCGAAGAATGCCATGCCGGGGCGGTTTACTTCAGAGATTTGCATGCTACCACTCTAGTTGTGAAAAAGGTGTCTTTGAGAAGTTTGTTTTTGAAAGCCTTGTGTGCTCATGTGCAGAATCCAGACCTCCCAGATCCAAGGGAGTATCTTGACAGGTTTAATGTGTGCTGTAAGTGGACTGGTCCATGGGAAAGCCTTGGGAGCAGTCGAGCTTTGGTTTCACCATGAGGGCGTCTTTGGTCATCAGAAAATAAGATGCTGTTGTCCATCATGATGTCGCTGCAGTGACGATTCTAGTCTTCTGGTGAATTGTCGATGTTTTCAGTAGCAACTGCACTAACTGTTGATATCAATCTGCCGATTGGCAAACAGGGCGACTGCAAAGAATTCAAAAGCCAATGGCGGCTGAGCGCCAAATTGGCTCCTTGATTGCGCGTTGGACACTTGGAGCCAATTCATTTGCGTTTGGACATTTGGAATTACTTTGTGGCCAGGTTATTCACCCCGCTCGTGGGGTATCCGCCCACACCGCAGCCTTTGTTCGACTCGTTGGTTTGGTCCAGCAGAGGAACCAATGGAAGCAAGGACAAGTCATGTATATTAGGAAATGAATCTATACTTACAATGTAAACGTATCTCTATATATGTATACATATGTATGTATGCATATGTATGTATATCATTATATGGATATAGTCATATATAGATACACATATCTACATATGTATATACATATATATCTTTATTTATTTTATGATACTGTATAGTATGAAACCAATTTGTCTGTGGTGCTCAGACGGCACAAAATGACGGCCTGGAGGCCAGATAGAACTGGAAAACCGTCTGCTTACTGCGGTTCCGAAAGAACATGTTGCGCAGAACCATGGCCCCAAACGGGGTGAAAATTTAAGCCCCGTTTCATGTCACAGTTCTGCCTCACCAAGATATAGCCAACTTCCAAAAAAAGCTCCCGAAACTCACCAGGACAGTTGCCGCAGCGTGCCAAACGAACCCCATCATCCCCTTCAATTACCCCATCTTAGCGCCAAGATAGACAGGAAAAAACAATCTAGTCCGAAAAAATGCCAGGACCCTGCTCCAAAACCGGCGCGAAAAGCACCCAAGGCCATCATTGGTTTTGATGCGCTTTCTCCCGCAATCTGCATCCAGAATGACTCCAGACGGTCTGACGAACTGCTCCAAAACCTGCGCACAACCATGTGTTTTACATCACACCTCTTTGTTTAAAACAAACATCTCTGTTTTAAACACACCTCTTTCTTTAAATAAACATCTTTGTTTACTTTAAAGGGAGTCGTTTAAAGTAGACTGTCTCTGTTTAAAGTAGACTTTCTTTGTTTACAACACAAGAGGAGTTGTTTACAACACACTTCTTCTCCAAGACGGTTCAACATAGCACAAACAGCCTGTGAGATGGCAACCTCTTGATCCAAGTTAATTGCCTTTAATCTATCTCTAGTCGCGTCACTCGGTCGAAATGTTGTGTTTCAGCAAATTGCATCCTGTCATGCAAGCGTAGCGCTTCCAATTTGTAATTGAATCCTTTCTAACAATGATCTTCTCTGTGCGAAGTTCATCTTCTAGCTGGAGCGTGGCAAATTTTAGAGGTACGTACTTTCCATCAGACTTAGTGAAAAGCACAAAGTAGCTTAAAATCCAGAACTGTATGATTGAAACAATGGTTAAGACAACTTACTGCCTTTAACACCAACCCATCAAACTGCGCAAGTAAGTTGGAGAAAACATGAACATTTCTCACGCTGATAAATGCAAGAGGAACAGTTTTGACTGCACATTCCGACCCGTGCACTGGCTGTAGAATGTGACTTGCAACTCTTGCAATATATCACTTCTTAAGCTTACTACTGTCCGGATGGCCAACATGCAACATCTTTTCCCTTCTCGGACTCGACTTGTCCTCTAAGTGGCTCAATCAAACTGTGTCCTTCCACCGATAAATCTAAGTCATCTGCAGGACCACAGACAAGACTGGTTTTTCTTCGACAACAACGCGTCCTCTGGGCTTCAAAAAGTCCGGATTCCTCAGCGCGCCGGTGATTTTTCCTGCGTAGCTTTCAGAAATGGCACCTTCGAAAGAACCCTTGTCGTAGACTCTTCCACGTGTCTGTCTCTTACTAAGATAGCGCAAATTCCTCGCTTCTTGCGCTAGTCGTTCTTCAATTTTTGGTCTTACACGCAGTCAAAATTGAGTGCGTTTTGTCAGTCGAAGGAAGAATCAAATGTGATTCACCGGCTCATGAATCAAGAGGTGCTCTCATGGAATGTCGATCAATGTGATCGTGTCGTGCAACTTCAAGACAATGGATGTTCAAGATGTCATCAATCTCTTTTTCTTCTTCGGAATTTGCTCGCCCGGGGGTTGTCGTTTGTGCCATGGATCTCGATGACGATGGTCGTGGGCTGATAGGATATCGTGAAAAATGGCGCAAGCTGTCATCAACTGCTGCGAGTAGTGGGAGTCATGAAGAAGTGCAAGACGATGATGAACTTGTCGGTGAATCCACTAACCCTCCTGATCTTTTTAGTGCCGACAAACTCACTGCATTCATGTCAAAGCCAGGTACCTGTGATAAAGAGGTCTCAGATGCCACACTTCAGAGGATGTTGGACAATGCTGGACTTTCTTCGGATCACTTCGGACGCTGTGATGACTCCGAGTACGAACCCTCAGTTGCAGCAGTCAGAAATTCTTCACATGTGAATCTTGATGTCGGAGGTCGTAGCTCTCCAGTGGATGATTGCGCAGCAGTGTCACATCATTACATCCGTGGAATCGCTCATTCAGGGATCGTTATGCTGTGGGAGACAGACTTATGAAGAGGTGAAGTCAGAGTCTTGCTGTCGAACGAGGGTCCCGTCATCTCAACGATAACAACATGAATACATTGGGAAAGGTAGCCTTTGCAGTGGGCCAACCAGGCCAACCTCTCGACTCGAACGAGTTCCAAACCTTCGCACAAAATACTTTAGGTGCTAGGATGAGTCAAGCTGACTGCGCGGTGCTGAAAAGGTTATTCTTCGAGGGCCATACACAAGTCCTTGGGCCTGCGGTGGGGCGGGAACACAGGCTACAACAGCTTGGGACGCGCCTTTGACTTGACTGGAGCGTACAGGCAATGCGCAATCAAGGCATCTTCAAAGATGTATTCACATGTAGTTGTGCAGGAACCCCAATCTGGCGATTTGTTCGCTTTCAGGATGCGAGTGCTCCCTTTTGGAGCTGTTAGGTCAGTACACAGCTTCCTGAGGCTTGTCTTCAAGATGCTGGGTTGGGCTTTCGCCCAGACAGGAGACAGGGCCTAAAGAAGCCCCTGACTTCTCGAAACTGTTCGAGGCGTTGGGTGTGGCGCTTGATGTTTCTGGTTTACATCGTGGACTGGTTCTGGTTAACAACACTGAAGGTGGAGGGCTGAGTTGATACAACAATTGTCGGCCGTGCTTGAAGCTGGGAAGCTCTCCCAGCTTGATGCGTTGAGACTGCGCGGAAGACTACAATTTGCTGCAGGGAATCTTTTCGGAAGGATAGCGAAAGCAGCCTTGGCAGTTGGAACTTTGCATGCTTATCATGCCAGGTCGACGGTGGACGAAAAGTCGACGCTATCCCTTCAACTCTACAAGAAACTGCTCACAATTTCGAAGCCCCGTGAACTCAAAGCTGCTACAGGTGTTTGCTGGTATATACACAGATGCTTTCTATGAGCTATCAGATGGCGCTATTGCAGGGTTGGCGGTGTTCTCTTCGATCCTTCAGGAAAGCCTGTGAAGTTTTTCTCGAAAGATATCAGCAGCCTCCTCCCTGTAATCAATCCTTCAAGCAAGAAGACTGTGAGTTCGAGTGTGAGTTTTTCGCTTTGTTCTGCGCTTTGTGGTTTTGGGCAGAATTAGTTGATGGTGCAGCCATGATATATACAGACAACAATGGTGTGAGAGACTCCTTGATCTTTTGCTTGCCGATGTTGCCAAGATGATCCTCCTTGGTATCCTGACAATCGAGACACATAGACAGCTAACACCCTGGAACCCACGTGTTCCAACTGATTCTAACTATGCAGACGGACCATCTCGCTTTGACCTGACCCAGATGCACGCCTTAAATGTTCAACCAAGTGAATTGGACATTGCGAAGTGTTGGGGCATCTTGTGGCCTTTTCTGCAAAGTGGGGAGAACCGCAGGCCAAGACTGTCCCCCGTTGAAAAGGGTGCTAGCTGCTTCAACTGCAAGAGACAGCGGTTACAAGACTGATAATTCTCTTTTTGTTTCTTCTTTTGGATCTTTCCCTTGGTTTCTTCTTTACCGTCTTCATCTCAAAGGCTTTTTTCCAATTTACAACTTAAATTTCTTACAGTCAAAATAGGGATGCCGTTCCGCTTGGAACCGCCTGGAGTCCTTGCAACAGCACGCAAAAGGATCTCTCTGCTTGCAGCCCTAACACTACATGGAGTCTCATTTTTTAAAATTGACTGTTGCTGTAAAGGCTTTAAAGAGAACAACACTTTAAAAAACAACGTTTTCAAGAAAGCTAACCAGGTAGAAAACTTTATGGGCTTGCGTGGCAATGTCAAAGTTGTCAAAAACTGATGAAGATGATTATGGACATTATGAGTTGTTTTGTCTTGTAATAGTGTGGCAACGCGTGGCTAGAGACAGTTAATAAAGGTTTTCAACATATTAAGGAACGATTTTTGGCAGAATTATCCGCGTTCTGCATCTAATATGTTTGAATAAATAAGATTAAAAGCTATCAAACTCCACTGTCACGACAGATAAGTTTCAAATAGCCATAAAGGATGTAAGAAAGGAGTTTCATTTAAGATTGAATAGTGGAGAGTTGATAAAGGACAAGTAAGTTTTGAGGATGTGTGCAAGTAAAAGCGCTATGAGCTGGTAAAAAATTTATTCGTGCAGAACTGAGAGGCGTGAAGCAGGATGAGTGGAATACAAAAATTTTATGCAAACAGTTTATTAGAAAAGTATATGATATGATTAGAGTAAAACACGTTGGTGGTTGTAAGAGTGCCGGATGTTTTTACATTTGAACAAGGTGGAATACAAAACACTTCTTTATTGTTCTTTTCTGCAGCAATAAAATTGATAGGGTAAATTACCCCTAAAGAGCATCTTTAGGGCGCTATTCACATTTTATATAGACTCTAGAAGTTTAAATTGGAAAATTTTGATAAATCGTTTTAGAAGCTGATGATGTCATATTATTTTTTAACGTAGAATCTTATTTAAGTCAAAATGGAGAGTTTTATATAGACAAGAACATTGAAGGAGAAAAACTTCACAAGAAGAAACTAGATTTATTATAAAATGGTTTCTAGGGCAAGAACATGGTGTTGTAATGAGTGAATATAGCGTAGCCGACACAAATAAAAGATGTGAAACTCTAGGTAATGAAGTAAGAAAGGATTAGGCAACTAAAAATCCCTAAAAAGTAATTAGGGTCGCAGGACATGGGGTTTTATACCGTTACAATTTTGAAAAAGAAAAAATGATAAAAAAAATGAGGAAAAATGAGAAAAATGCATTTGTGGTTGATTATGATGATTAAATCGTGT